GGTGAGGTGGGAAGCCTGGGGATGGGAGGGGGTGGGGGATAGGAAGTAGAAAGAATACAAGGACACAGATGAATCAGCATCAAACTCTGTATGTCCCACAGTACACAGAACAATGCCTTGTACACAGTAGAGGTTTAATTTCTTGAATAACTGATGGACTAAAAAGACATGTAACAGGTTAGTCAAGAAAACTCAATGTTTTAATTCCATTTCTATAATAGTGAAGTAAATGCAATAAAACATCGTTTTGTTGACAATCAAATTAGCAAAGACACGGAGAAGATGCACTCGTACTCTGAAGGGCTCTCATGAACTTTCTAGAGCGTTCTGACAAAATGCATAAATATCTTTAAAACATGCACATCATTTAACTCTCCTCCTAGGAATTATCCTAAAGAAATAATCAGATGGCAAACAAAAATTTATCTATAAATGTGTTGATCTCAGGTTTACAGTATTAAAAAAACTAGGAGAAAATAAAAACCATATGCCCTTCAAAAAGAAGACGGTTAACTTAGAAATGCTACATTTAAATATTGGGATATTTCACATAAACAAGTCTGAATTTCTGACTATTCTTTTAGAAATTGGAGTATCTAGGGCCAGCCTGTGGCGTAGTGGTTAAGTGCGCGAGCTCCACTGTTGGCAGCTGGGGTTTGGATCTCGGGCGTGCACCACGCACCGCTTGTCAGGCCATGCTGTGGCAGCGTCCCACGTAAAGTGGAGGAAGATGGGCACGGATGTCAGCCCATGGCTAGTCTTCCTCAGCAAAAAGAGGAGGATTGGCATGGATGTTAGCTCAGAAAATAAATAAATAAATAAATAAATAAATAAAATCTTCCTCACAAAAAAAATAAATAAATAAATTGGAGTATCTGGTGACTCTAGCACCGTGTTCCTAAAGGGCAGCTATTGGCTGGAATTGACCAGGGGTGACACTTGGATGGGTCACACCTTCTCCCATAGGACATAATCCCCCTGCTCCTTATGCTACATCCAGCCTGCTTATTTATGTTACCTGCTGGCTCCTGTCAGCACTGGAATGTGTGAGCCCTGAAGTAAAAGAACTATGTTACCAGAAAATGTTCATAATGAGATGCTAAATGAGAAAAACAATGTTCCCCTCCTGTGTGATTAGCCTGATCCAGTTGTGGGGGATGTGAGCACGTGTGTATGTGTGTCAGGGAGCAACAGAGAAATAGAGAAGTGGGAAAGCATGTACCCAAATGTTAAAAGTATTTCTTTCTAGGTGCTAGCGTTATAGGTGATTCTTACTTTTTTTTTGCCCTTTTCATTTTTTCCCTAAATTTTGAACAATAAACTTATATTGCTTTGGTAATCAAAAGAAACTTTAAAAAAAATTAAAAGTGGTTGCAGAGAAGGGTTCATGAGCCCACCCATACCACAGTCGTGGTCTGAGTAGACCACCAGGCTTCCTCCACCTGGCGTCTGCCATCTTATCTCCCCCACTTCCTATGTACGTCTCTGTAACGTACTGTTTCACTTGATTGCTCACATCCTTGAAATATTCCCAAATCATCTGTGGAGGAAAACACTTTGCCATCACAGACCCCTTTCTGATTCTGATACGCTGTTTTTTCTTTAGAACTTGGAGAATCTGGTGGCTCAAAATACCACTGGCCCCGTCTTCTACCCGAGGCTCTACCACCTGATGGCCTATGTCTGCTTACTATTGGGAGACGGGCAGAACTGCGACCTCTTCCTGCGCACGGCCTTACAGCTCTCTGACACACAGGGGAATGTGCTGGAGAAGTGCTGGCTCAACATGAGCAACGTATGTACCCTGGGCTAGCGAGCTGGGGTGGGGGAGGCTCACGCTCCTGGGGAAGCCCCAGGAACCTACTGCCTGGTCAGGTTTCACCAGGCGCACAAGTCCATCACAGGCCTTTCTGGACTCTTACTGACACGAGTGACAAGTCCATCGTTCAGGCGTGTGCACCTCCTCTTCCCCTCAGTTCTCATGGGATGGCCCCCTCCTCCACATCCCCCGTAGCAAGATCTCTGCCCTCTCTC